AAGTGAGATGCAGCAGGTCCTCAGCCGCAGGAGAGATGCATGAACACATGTATTTGCAGTGTCTTGTCATGAGATGACAGATGCCCTTTAGAGCAGATCAGAATTCACTGTCCCCTCCCCCTTCCCTCCCCCTGTCTCTCTGCAGTTGCCTTGAAGTGAGATTGGTTATGAAAGTAGCACATCAGATGCCTCGTCTAATGTTACAAAGCTCTCGCTGCCTGGGGTGGATGTCCTGCCTGCATTTCCTTTCAACTCTGATGAAAGTGGCTGAAGTAGAAGTATCAAATGGGACCAAAGGAGGATTTCTTGGCTGGATGACCAGAAGGAGAACTTTGAACAGGCCACTTCTCCCAATCTGACCTGCTTTCTTTGACAGTGCAGCCTCTGGCTGCTGAAAACTAACAGCCTAACAGCCTCCTAAACACCACACAATTGCTCCTCTTGGACCAGGGGGTCATCATTTATACCAGGACAAACTGATGCTACAGGAAAATCTACCCACGGAGTCCATCAGAAGCAGCTATTACATCCTGTTTGTACTCCCCTCTTCAACCATGTCCAAATGACAGTGAAGTTGCCACTAGTTTTGGCCAGATTTGATCCCCAGCTCAGTTGCACAGCTCAGGTAGGAAAGTGGGACAAATCCAGCCTTTCAATCTCCAGCCCTCTTTGCTGTCCGAGCAACAGTAGCTCCTAGCTCCTCTAAGGATCCAAGATGTGACCAAGAAGAAACACTGAGGGCAGGATCTGGCTCCATCTCACCTTACGTCAGCTGCCTGAGGGTGAGGTGTCTCAATTAAAACAAAACTGTGCAGAACTTTCATTATGAAACTCAAAAACCACATAAAAATCACCTGGGCCAGATTCCATTTATGAAACTCATCTTCTAGTTTAGTTTCTGTTTGGACAGGGTGGAGGAGACCTGCAAAGGAGGCAGAGGGACCACATGTTGCATGGACCAGCCTGGAGCCCTTCTGGACTGATTTCCAGTTTCAGCTCAAAAGCTGGCAGTGCTTGTGGTTTCAGACAGCTCTGATGTGAAACCAGATGCTCTCCCTCAGGTTCTCACTGCCAAGGAAACCTGTTGCAAGCTCAGATTCTGCTTTCCAGCCACACTTTGCTGTGATACTTGCCTCCTGGCTGCTCTGGCAAGGCATATCACTGCCAATAGACTCACGCTCATGGAGGGAGAAGGCGAGAGAGACCTAAATGCACATACAACCATTTCACAAACAAAACAACTCTGCACCTCTCACAGTTCTCAGACATTCATTTGCCTGTCAGTATTTAACAAGCTCCAAAGCCATTTGCTAAAGCTGGTGTGGAAATTGAGGCTGCTTCCTGGACACTAACGACTCTTTGGAGAATTCCTCACCAACGTCACTTTTCATTCTTTCTAAGGGAAGAAACGAGTTTTCCGGAAGCATCAGCTTTTTAGATTTAGCATCTCTCTTTCCATTCCCAGAGTCAGCTATGGAAAAACAATCGAAGGGAAAAAATAAACGCATTCAAAAAGCCGCTGCCAGATTTGCTCAGATAAACAGTCCAGGCAAATACTGTCCACCTGAGGGAAAAATAAAAGCTCGCAGAGCTCAGGCTCCAAACCGTGGCTGACCGAGGAGAGGAGCCAGCTGTTTTCTTGAGAGGGAAGGAGCCATGGGTTGGCACAACTGCTCCATGCCTCCCTACAACAGCACCAACAGGCCCTTGCTGACTGAAAAGAGCACTTGCTACTGCTTTAAAATTCTCTTCTTTGAGCAATACCTGGCTTGTACAATACCTTAACCAGCACAGTCACTGATGGTACAGTCCCTTCACCCTAAAGATACTCTCCGGATCACCAGCTGAGACCAGCCGTTGTGTGTTGCGAGCAAATCCTTTACTCCTTGAAAAGTTTCAGGGCATGTTCATCTCCTTGTGCTGTGGAGCAAGCCGTTCCAAAAAGAGCAAACCTCTACTGGAAGCTGCACTCAGGTGTCCACTTCTGCCAGGCAGTGGAGGGAAGGTCACTGGTGGCTCAAGGAGGAAGTGGAGCCATTGCCCATGGGTTTGGGGGACAGCTGGAGCAGAGAGACCAGAGCCAGAGTTGCCCCGGCGTGTTGTGCATGGCATGTTTCCCCCAGCATCAGCAGACAACCAGCCTAGGGATGGACTTTTGTCATTGCCCTGGCAGCAGGGAATGAATGTGACAACCGCCAGCAGGGCTGACATGGAGAGGGAAAGAAGTGGGATGAGCAAGAAATGGATAAGCATATAGTGATGCAGTTGTAACCCCATGAGGATAATGTCAATAACAAGATTTGATTACACAGTACAGACAACAACAGAAGCCACCGCTTTCAGTGGGACTATGAACATCTGCTAGTAACATTAATCTGGTAGAAAGAATTACGCTAGATACTGCCAAGCAAAACCCATCCCAACACAGATCATTCACGACAATAGCCCCCCTTTGAAAGCTCCTGCTCAAGCCACGTTTGATGGACGGTGTTGTCTTCAAGGCATGTCACAACTCAAAATAGAAAGTCATGACTCAGCCAACACATCATCTGCCTTCAGAACAGTCGTTAACACCGCCACAGTTCACAGAAGCAAGAAAGCAACTGAGAAGAAAGTCCTGAGAGTCCCCACGTCTGGGTAGGTGATATGATTCCATAAGGAAGGCTGTACAGAACCAACTGAGAGTCTTCTTGGGAGAACTCTCTCCCAAATACCTGGCTCAGGGGAGCTGTTATTTCTTGTGAAAAACATCAAAACTCCTCTATGTCAAATTCCCACCAAGGCAGGGGGAAGCTGGGGCTGCTGGAGAGGGATGCTGCTGCTCTCTACATCCCAAGGGCCGTCTGCAAACCTGTAAGGTGATGACTGATAAGGAAGCCTGATGGCCCTGCTGCCACAACACCTGTGCCCACCATGTGTGTGCCCCATATATCAGAGGGTGGGAATTCAACATATCCAGTGATACAGTGCATAGGGCATCCCCTGCTAAAGGGAATGCAGGCAGCTTTTGCATTGGGGTCCCTGATGCCAGTGAAGCAAGGAGGGGTCCAGCATAGCCAAGACTGCTCTGCAGTAGCATTCACAGGAGAAAGGCTCCCAGGACTCCCAGAGTGAAACCGCATGAGCATAAAACAGAAGATGGAAACTGCTGCAATGAAGATGTGTGGATCAGTGTCTGGCAACGAGAAACAGTGACCAGTTCCCTCCTCCACACCCCTTATGTGAGGCAGGGCTATTTTGGGCAAAAAAAAATAGTAATGTTTCTGTCATTGAACAGTCTGAACATGCCTTCCCACAAGGCCCAGAAAACCACAGTAAAACCACTGCTAGCTGCCCTGTGCTGTCTGACCACTCGGCTGTTGCCGGTCAGAGTAGAAAAAGGCTGCATTCTCTTCCCCAGCTTGCCATTACTGGGAGCATGAACATCTCCTCTCCCTGCCAGCTGGCCACCAGTTCTCACCAAACTTACAGGATTTTTCCTTTTTAAGAGAGCTAAGCCTCAGCCAGACTTGTGTCCACCCAGCCAATGGCTATCCCGGACAGAATGATGGACAGACAAACAGCAGACAGTGGAGGGATAGCTCTGTCTCTTTAGGAAAAAAAAAAGACTAACAGAACCAAAATATATGGCAAGCTATTTTGGGAAGGAAACATCATAACTGATCTTCATAGCAGCCTTGACCAATACTGGATGTCAAGTCAACCATATGATAGCAGCTAGAGGCCCAGCATTTCACAGCTAGCAGAGGGAGGCTGCACGTCAGACACGCACAAAGGCCAGTGCCTGCCGTGACCAATAAGCCAAGGTCTTACCAGAACTGCAGCCAGGAGACTTCACAGCCTCAAACTACTTCCTCAGATCAGACTAATATTTGAGAGAAAGCTGTGTACTTTGATTCATATGATGGAGCAGGGGCTGGGTGTATATTTCACCAGACCGCTGCATATCTTCTTTCATTGCAGATATAAAACATTCCTTTAGGTGTGAAGGGCTGTGAAGCATCTGTCCCTTTTGTTCAGTGGGACGTGAAGCTGCAATGGCTGAAGAATGCCCCGTGGGTTTGGGGCATCCAGAGAGAAGCTCAGAAACTGAGCAAGAAAGCCTTGGGATCTATGTACTCACTCCACCACCAAAGTACCAGTAAAGTACACACATAAGAGCTTGTATAATACTAAGAGGAGATAAATCAAGCTTTGAAGCTCAGAGGAAATTGTTTCCTTGTTCAGGAATAATCAAGAGCACAAAAGAAAAATTGCTATTAATTCATACACCTACTCAGAAGGCTCCTGAGGGAAGGTAATGGCATCTCAGGGATGCAAGTGGTCATGCTACGACTGCTCAGGCTTGGTGCCTCTGCTGTAGCCAGAAGGATGCTGCCAAAGGCTGTAGAGGTTCCACCTTCAGGAAACACTCAGCAGGAGATGACAGCCAGTGCAGAGGAAGGGCTAAAACCTGCCTGATGTACTGAGTTGGCTCATCCACTTTTTTTAAGCTTAGGCCCCTAACACTCCCCTTTTTAGTTTCCTTTCTGGAAAGGGCTCCTGCAGTCTCCTTGTTATCACCACTACCATCGCTGTTTATTGCTGTGTAATTGCTGCAGCACTCACAGCCCCCAAGGGACAGATGAGGCCTTGGGCCAAGGGGAGGGGAAGCCAAACAGCCACACGACTACACAAACAGCCAGCCCCGGAGCATGCACCACCCCGCCACCGCCAACAAGCAGCAAAAGCCAAAGCCCAACCTCCACCCTGGGGTTGGGGACCTGCTGCGCAAGCACTGCCCACCCAGTGGGGTGAAATAAGCCAGAGGAGCTGCTGCGCTGGAGGGAAGGGAGCACCAGCAACTGGGACAAAGCCAGGGCAAGAGTAGGTGATGGCAGGGAGCAGTTTTGGGCAGGTGGCTCCATTCTCTGCAACTGAGAATCATTTCACACAAAGCAAAATGAATAGGCATGAAATGCTGCAGAAACAGCCCCAAATCAGTGATATAATTCACTCACTCTGTCTGGTTTGAACAGTAAGCAGTTACCAGCTGTCTGCTGGGTGTGCAAGGAGGTCATGTGTGCAGTCAGCAGCTGGGGGTCTTGAATCAATGTCAAAGCAGTAATAACATCAAAACTACCTGCAGCTTCTCCATGTACACAGACAGCAAAGTTCCTGTTCTCCCTGCTGGGACAAGGTTGAGGGCACTGGGATCACCCTCACTGGCTGATCTCAGCAGGGAAAGCTTGCATAGATATTTCTTTCCTGCAGATAAGCAGTAGATTTCTCTCTGCAGTACCATCAGTGCCCCCTCCCCTAGTCCCAACCCCAAATTCACTCAGATAAAGGAAATCATACAGATCTTGTTCATGCACTTTCCAGGGTCTGTCACCCACAGGGATGCAGCACACACACACACACACACGCACACACACACACACACACGCGCGCACACACACACACGCGCACACACACACCTCCAGTCTCTAAGGTATAAAACACTCCCCAGAAGAACTGCAGCACTGGACATCTTTGTGCTGTATGCGCTGCTCTTCAAGGAGCAGCCAGGGTCAGAGTATGGAGCAGAGCAGCAGGTCCCTCTCAAAGGAGCAGAGAAAGGATGGGGCAGAGAGGGAGATTTGCATTTCCCTGCAATCACAGCCATTCAGTCAGGAGCAGTGTGCCATCCAGGACTCTACCTACTTCTTCAGGGCCGGCACCAGGGAGCTCGGAGAGTCATACGTGCACCTGAGACGTCCTCCAGAGTGAAGGGGCAGAGCAGAGTCCTCGAGGAGTCATCACCAGGTCTGCTCTGTCCAGTCAGGAAGTCACTCCATGCAAGTGCTAGTAATCCAGCAGCCGCCTTGCCAGGGTCTCTGCTGCATGCTTCAAAGTCTGCAAAGTGAAAAGGGAAGTGCCTGAGCTATTTCAAGACAACTTCCTCTTTCATAGAGAAGTCCCTTAAGGAGAAAGCTGTCACAGCACCGGTCGCGTTCACTCAGCACTTTCCAGACATGCAGGCGAAAGAGGGCTCAGCCTAGCCCTCTGTCTAATCTCCAGAAACCAGCAGTGCAGGTCAGGCCGGTCCAGCACAAACCTGGCCGAAGGCAGCAGCGCTGAGCTTGGATCTGGCACAGTCTCTCCCACCAGCTCTCGCCCGAGCTCCTGTGCCTTGCTGCAGACCACCCCGCAAAAAGGCTGCGGAGGCAACTTCTCTTGCACTGACACCTCCCAGCCGAGGGAGAGATAGAGCTGAACATGCTGCATACCCAACGCCTAGAAATAAACAGTGTTGCTACGAGAGACAAGGAGGAGTCTGTCCAAAGCAAGATACTTTTCCAGTTCCCCATTCCAACTTGCTGTCTTTCTGCTGCTCTAAACGGTATTTTGTGTGTCTGCCAGCGTCTCCCGCCCCTGGAAAAGCTCTGAACGCTTTGCACACATCTGCTTTTGCACAAAGTCAGCACTGTCTCTGTGGCAAGGATGGGCGATGCAAAGCAGTCGTTGCCTTCCTCGTGCTAGTGTGGCTACCAGCAGGGAGGCATGGGCTGGATGAGGGACACCTGGGTCCTTGGGTGAAGCTTTCACGGGAAAGTTAGTCACTGCATTGGCAGAAGCCGTGGTCACTTCTCGGTCTCTGGGCAGTGGTGGATATGTTCCCAGATGTGGGGGGCTGTGGGTCAGAGCAGCCCAGGCTGTACTCAGCGTGGCTGGACACTGTTACCACTCATGACTTGGGGTCAGGGTGCCACTCAGGCCAGCTGCTCCCTGTGAGACTGGGAGCCGGAGAGTAATCCAGCTGGCAGGACAGGACCTCACTGATCAGGGCCCATCCCATCACCCCCAGCAGGGTGAGCAGGGCACACCTAGAGCTACTGGCCAGGTTCAAGCAAGAGCCCAGATCACCAGCAAGTCCATGGCGAAGAGGCAAGTCTGAGGCCAGGCACTCAGCCCGTGGGTCAAGGTCGGGATCGGTGGGGCCAATGGCCAGGCAGGAGCAGGACCGTGGCACCACTGCTGCAGAGTCACTGGGGTAGGGACTGAAAGCCCTGGGCTGAGCTGAAATGGGGTCCTGCGCCCATGGGCAGGGGGTCAGGGGAGGCTAGTCAGGACCATCAGGGCTATTAGTGCCCTCAGGGTCCTGAGACTTGGTTAGGGCCAAGGCTGCGTAAGCCCAGGCTGAAGCACGACAGAGACGTGTGGCCCCGGCAGATCCAGCTGAGCTCAAAGGATGAACGCTCATCCCTATGAGACATGCATGCAGGGCCTCGGCTGAGTCCTGGTTAATGGGGGGTCTGTGGCGATCTCTGTTGCCCCAGCCAGCTGATGAGGTGCCATCTAAGTGACCCACACCTCACAACTGTGGGAAAAGCTCAATAGCACTGGGCAACCCCCTCCAGTTGGGGACTGCCACAGCCGATGCTGTTCCCATTTATAGCCAGTGTCCTGCAGGGTCTCTATCTGGCAGCTCAACACCCCAAACTTTACCTAGACTCTTGGGGCTCTGATTTTCTTTGGAGCGAGTAGGATGAGGGAAGAAGGTACTCAGAGAGGGAGCGTGGGAACTGTAGCTGATACTGTATCACTTCCCATCTTCTTTTACATGAGAAAAAGCATTAGGTACAGTTACATACCTGGGCCCCAGATTTAAAAATAGCCTACTTCCTTCCTGACTGGGAGAAAAAGGCAGGAGGAGGCAGATTTACTGGCTGTCAACATTATTTGCATTCAATTCCCATTTGTCACATCGGTGCCAAGTGGCTCTGTCAAGAAGCATCCCCTTCCCTTTGCAGGCTCACAGCACCGCATGGCTGAGTAGCTGTCCTGTGGGCAGGAAGGCTGCAGGGAAACTACAGCAACACACAGCACCAGATAATAACATCCTCATTTCCCTTGTCTTGTTTTCATTCACATTCGCTTCCATTCATGAAGGACACACGCACACACATGTCTTGGCCCCTGTACAGAATAGCTGCATAGCACGGTTGTGCCAGCAGGCCCCTGGGCCAGCCCCACAAACAGCGTGGTTACTGCGTATACATGTGGGACCTTGTTTGCAAAAGGCTTGTCCCCAACAGCATCAGAATTAGCATTTTCAACATGTCAGGTCTCCAGCCTGAGGTTTAGGCTGTTCAATAGCTTACTTGTTCCATACATTTCCATAAATCCTCATGATGTCTTATGTCTGTCCT